GAAATAGTTTTGACATACCTGATAACAAGCCCTAAACTGAGCAACAATATGAAAATGATCGGTAGACCCAAGTTCAAATCCTACCTTAGGCTGAACATCAAAGGGTCGACCCCTACCCTGCGTGAGTGTGCCACAGACTCAATGGGCAGGCCAATTCCACTGGCCGAGATTTATTCACTAACGAATGCTACTTTGGGGGAACCTTGGTTAAGGTCCGGAGGTGCTTGTGTTCGACCAGGCCTGGTTGAAACCAGGATAGCGCATTACAAAAAAATGCCATTTGACAGAAAGATGGCCCTGTCATGTAGCCCCAAACTTGATTATGACTTCTGTGGCAAAATGCACTATGTGTCGTCACTAGCACTTGCAATTTACACATACAGAAAAAAAAGTCAGGAGAGACAACAGTGACACTCAATGTCCGGAACTGTAGCCTGGCACAAAAATATATTTAAAAAAAAAATATGAAAAATCGGGCAAAATAAAAACACCAAAGCAATGCATGTTTAGTACTAACTTGTCAACAAACGTTCTTAATTTGTTCCCTCCAACTTAGATTATTTTCCACATAAACACCAAACAATGGGCGTTGTTTGATTGATTGGTTTTCTTCAATTGTGATATTAATATCTCGATCAGAGGGAGATATAGAATTAGTTTTGCCTGTGTTGGTAAGCATTTTGTTATTATCACACCACCCATATATGCACTGAGCCGACTGTTCAGCCATCATAGACACATTTCTGCCATTCAGTGTGTTGTGTATTTCGCCGAATAAATGTATACAAATGCTGTTTTCGACGTCTTTTTTATGTTAAATTTGTCATCTCTATTCGGAATAACGTTGTCCATTTTTACTCGTCACTGGAACACATTAACTCATTGAAATGTAATGAATATTGGTTGAAAAATATATTAAATCCCAGAACATATTAGTATTGTTAGAAATACAATTGTTACAACCCTAATTCGACTTTAAATCCGAAACAGGAAATATTTGTCTATATAAACTTCTATTTTCCCGAGGAAATATTTTTTTTTCAGTTTTTATTTTTTGCTGTGTCAGGTCAGTTATGGGACTAAGTTCAGATCACGGTCATCTTCCTTCAGTTCGTTAACTTAAGGTAGCGGGACTATTATTTGCATACTTGTTTTCATCTTCTAATTGTGACTAAATGACTACAAATAGACCCGGGAAAGTATATATTTTTAGAATCGCCAGACTTCAAGCTTTTCACAAGTGTATTTTGCATGCCCGTATCTGCATTCTACGACGCGTTACTCAACCAAAGGTGAAAAATTACTTTTTCTGTAAAAAAAAATAATTACGCATTTATGCTGGCGATAAGAAGTATTTTTTTTTCACTTTTCCTAGTTGTTCAATAGTCTGGTAAATTGAATGTGTCTGGTCAGTTTTATTCAAGCAACGCGTTTTAAAAAAATAGTGTGCTGAATTTCAATTACTGTTTTAGTCGCATTGCCTCCAACTCAAACCACAACTGGTTGCTAAATAATCGATGAAGTAGTTTGTCTGGACACATTCAAGTTCCTCTCACTGTCACCTTAAAGCTGTGAAAATTTGGTGTTAATCCGACGATAATAAGTATACGATATTTTTTGTTAAAGATTTGTATTTTGAAAAACATAAACTCCTAGAAAACGTCCATGAAGTAACAGCAAAGATTTTCAAGCTTGTTTATCGGCACAATCAATTTGTTTTTTCATCAAGGTTTGTTTTAACATGTGTAGGGACATCCAAATGTGTAAGGCTATTGGAAACCAAAAAAATAAAGGAATGGGATAGCTATAATTGGATAAATTCGGCATATGAAAACACCAGAATCAATGATTTTTTTCAGTGGCTGTGTGACCTTGTGTCTGACACATTCATATGCAAATGACTAATCTGTGAAACAAATATCGGCGGAGACAAATCACTCAAATGTTTGGAAACGCTAATTGTGTGTCAGATAGCTACTGATAACACATCCTAACATTGTTTTGTCTTGAGTTTATCTTTGAAACTTATAGGCACACAGATTAAACCTGTGTTGTTGATTTTGGAAAACACTACTGAGGCTGCCTTGCTTCCCTTCAGAAAATCTACATTTTAACCAACTTACATGACATTCTATGTTATGTTGACTTTATCACATGAAAGTTTATAGTGCATTTCATCAATTCATAAATAAATGTGAAAATCGTAATTTTCAACACAAATAATAGTCTCGCTACCTTAATATGCAACTTTAGTATGTCTTATGGTGAGCCTATTTTTATTTCATGTTTTTAGCGGCTAAGCGCGAGTTTTGTATTCCGAGGGGGAGTTGCACGAATCTAATTTACAAAATATAATATCCATGAGCAATGAAAAACTCGTCTTTTCAGTAAATTGTGCCAAAAATGCTTTTTGATAGCATACATGATAGTTCTACATTGAATTATTCTATTGTTACGAGCTGAAAAAATAATCGAAAAACTGATGTAATCTAAAACTGTTGAAAGTAACCACATGTTTTTTTCTATAACGTGATCATAGAAAGATACGAAAATCATGGAGAATGCAGAAGCACGTTGATATTTCACTCCAGTACTATTGGTCAAACTTACACATTAAGTTTTCAGTAACTGTTAAATTAATAAATTACAAATTAGTGTGCATTTCGAGAAATCACATGATTTTGAACGCAATATGTCACTCGAACAAGAAACTAGTAGCGCCAAACTAGTTGTTGCTTCAAATGTTTTGCAAAATACACAATTTTCGTTAGAAATTATTCTGTAAATGAATCGCTGAAATCATTTCATATATTTTTAAGGGGAGTTATTGCTTTAAAGATGGCGAACAGAAGACTGATGTTAGACGTTCCATCCACATCTGACAGCGACGTCCGATCTGGGTGGAACGTTTCTAAGTCAATCGCTCGTAGTCCAACTTTAATACGACGAAGACCGTTTCATGAACATATGAAATAATTTCTTAACGTATCATCAGATACGCATGCGCCGGTTTTAGGTAACACCAGACACCGTGCTAGTCTCGTCGAGTTCTATTTTTTTTTAAATACCTGTGACAATTATAACGAAATAACGTGCTAATAAGTGATT